GGTGGGATTATAATTCAACATCACGCACCGCCTGATCGAGTTGAGGTCCACGTTTGTTAAGTTAATCGTGGGGAACATGTTTTGGAACATCGACGATGTATGAGAGACAAAAATTAGCAATAAAATGGCCCAACCAACTACTCCGTTATGTGCTGTATCCGTTCGCATTGCAAACAATGGATTATATTTTCATTTGCGTGGTCATTTTCCATTGTAATTTCAAGACCACAATTCTTCGAGATTTTATACATTTGTAGTTGATTCGCTCTGCATTATTGGCACTTTGATGTATGCATATTTTCAACGGCTTCAAATCATTCACTGGTATTTTTGTATTTCTTTAGCAGCAACAGAATACCCTACTCAATCCAGGTAATCTGTGCTTCAGGATTGCAAATACTTTCCAGAGCTTTCATTCTTCATTTTGATGGCATGTGAGTTGAGAGTTTATTAAACTAGTTCTACTAAATCCAGATATCGACAGTTCAGCAAACTGGTGTCCCAATAGTGTTGGTCTTTTGTATTTAATTTGCCGTTTGTTTTCATTACAAGATGTTTCTTTTGAAATTGTTCATTTTTCTGGTCTCAACAATCTCCTGCCGCTTGTAATCTTTGGCGGTGTGAAAGTTTTCATTCAGCAGGCAATCATTCTCAAATTCGGTTATCTGCATTTCATAAATAATGTTCTGTACTAATTTCTTTCCAAGATTGGCATGGAACCACCCTTTCCGTTTCTTTGCAGTTAATTAACATGGCTTAATTGATTTAATTTAAACATCAGCACATCTGGATAGATATGGTCTATAAATACGGCCATCAGGGTCTTGTTCGTTTCTTGACTTGAATGAAGCTTTTAAAACTGCTTAAAAGCTGTGACGAAAAATGCTGCTATTCTATCAAATGCAAAACGGTAAAAAATGGTAGCAATAATATGTACATATACAACATATGCAATAAGAGTTATACGAAGCACATATAAAGGGCAATAAACACTAAAACACAGAAACATTAAGAACAACCTTGATTTGCAAGATTTATTACCCTGAACTCCACAACGATTAAAAAGATTGGCAACCAAACTCAAAATAAATGTTCAGAATGCAGGATGGTAAAATAAAACACAGTTAAACATGTACATATTTTGTTTCAATGGAGTGATCTAAAGGGGTTGGACTTGAAATAAAACAAAACTGTTATTGATAAGTTTACTTAGTGTTTTCTACCTTCGACTTAGCTTTCGATTTTTTCAATTTTTTAAGACCGTCTAAGTTGCCTTTTAGCAAACTGCTATAAGCTACCTGAAACTTATTAACGTCCTTCTGGTGAATCACAGTAGCAATTTTCTTGGCTCTCGATTTCGCTCTAACTAAGCACATATGCTCTGACGGTTCTGGCAGTGGTGGTTTCGATGGTCTTGGAGTCGGACAATTGTGACCATCATCTAAAAATTTCTTGTTATGTAACTAATTTTGAATTAGACATTAACGGAGTAAAAAAGCATCTATTTATTAACAAAGCATTAAATGACATCCATTTTCGACCAAAAGCTAGTTACTCTGACCAAGGAATATTATGAGTATATATACTATCTGTATAAATAGTTTTAGCATAAAGTTCATTCGAACTTAAATATTTTTCATTATAAAGGTACTTAGCGAATGAAATTACAAATATAATTACTTCAGTGGACTTTACTCACAAAACATAATATTGAATTAAAACCATATTTTCATAAACGTTCTCACGAGGATGTAGAAAATTAAAAATGGCACATCTTCATATAAAGTTATAATTAACGTAATTTAAATTGTATTAACTACAGAACTGAAGTTCTTTTTGAAGGAAAGTCCCCTTTAGTTTGTTGATGTGAATTAACAGTAGTTAGTTGATGTGTTTATGTGAAAATTGCATGAAAATACACTACATTAGAGAGTTAAAAGATGCAGTTTGAGCGCATTAATATTTAACAGACTACTCAAACTCAAGTCGTTAAATGTATGTATCAATTGAACTTTGGCCACCCGATTTTTACATCAAATTTAAAATTTAGAGAAAAATATTGAATACAAAAGTTGTAGATATGACCGTCTAGTATATTTTTTAAAAAATACCAAATGTTACAGGGTCTCAAATTCAAGTGCCAGAACAAAGTTATCTTTTTTTAATGGAATGCGGTACCTACTTTTTATTGCATATTAGAGCTACTGGTAAAATTCTAGGCCTATTCAATAAACATGTGATAATGATGAGTGATAATAAACATGTGACAATAAACATATTGATTTTCAACTGTTTTTGAGTTAATAACTAATATTGATTGAACTTTGGCTACTATCTTAAAATAAACTAGACGTTAATATCTACAACTTTCGTATTTAACATTTTTCTCTAATTTTCTAATTACATGTTAAAACGGTGTGGCCAAAGCTCAATCAATAACCCTGTATAGGTTGTCCCAACGATAGAGCAAAGTAAGTTTACGGTTAACCTGTTAAAAATGTTCACAATTATACAGCGGGCCTCTGAAAAGTTGCAGCACAGAAAACATGAACGTGCAAAATTCAACCTATATTTTATGCTATTTTTTAATTTTTAATTAATTGTTGTTATATAAAATACGAACGAAAAGTAGCTAGTAGAAACTTTACATTCACTTAAAGTTAATAAATCGATTTCCGTTGCCTTTATTCAAAAATGTTTAATTTGGTAGGAGAAAGAACTAATGATAAACGACAAATGATTGTATATTAAATACATCGACAGAAATAGCCAAATAAAGTTGAAAAAATTAAACTAAATTTTTATTATCTAAGCGATTGTTTGTCAAGCATTCCGCGATGCAATGTTTTAATAACCCACGTAATATAACGCAGCCAATTAGAAAAATCGAATGTTTGCGTAAACTAGAACAGACAGGTATAAAAACTATTTAGCAAAAATAAAATTAAAGGTTTTCCTGTTTTGAAGCATACTGACAATAGATGGGGAGGGCAATTTAAAAAAAAATGAAGTTTTGAGTTTCAAAATACCTCATTTGGACGATTATTATGACCCCCATCAAAGACAAATATTTTGCAGTTCGAATATTAATATTGCATTAGTCCTTTCTCCAGTCAAATTTCGAATTTTTGTGTCCAAAGACAGAAAGAGTGAGGATAAATTTATTAACACCTTGAAAATGCGAATGTTCATCGTTAGCCACATTACTATCCGATTTTGGTTTATAGTTTATATAACAAAAGTTAATTGAAATTTAGATATAAATTCAAAAATAAACTAAACTATAAGGTGGTCCAATAAAGACAGGTTATTTTCCAAGCGGCAACTTTTCAGACGCTCTGTATAATTGTAAATATTTTAAAAATATTTGCGTTTAGTACCTTTAGAATACGGCCATGAAAATTTTGAAGCAAATAATATCGGTTAAGCGTAAACTTACTTTTAAATTATATCTAAATTCTATCGTTGGGACACCAGGTATTCGATAAATATGGAATGTAGGTACTTATACAACTTCCAAAAAACTTCCTAATTACATGTAAATCATAATTCTAAAGAATAAGAGCACCAATATAATAATTACCATTGACTTTATGATTAAGCAAGACAGAAAACTATTTAAAAAATTGTCATTTGCAATTACATTTTATGATCCAAGAAATTAATGGAATTTATGTACTTCGTTCACTAATTTTAAATCAAATTAATACTTATTATCTGTGATCGCAAAGATAATTACTTTTCTAAAACAAAATGCTGCTGCTCTGAAGAAGTTTCATTACACATTTCCCAATCGATTCTAAACCCTTGCCTTTTACGCCTTGATTTACCATTATGTTTATAGTAAAATATGAGGGACGGGCACCAAATACACTGATTAAACTAGAATATTATGATCTCAAATTATAAAAGCGTATTTACTTGTAATGATATTCCATATAGTATTACTCACCATTTGACAATTTAACTAGACAAAATGTGTGTCTATAATAATCACCCAAATTTCACTGTTTTCAAACATATTTAATTATGATTAACGTACATACGTTACAATATTCCAATATTTTAGAATATATAGGTGCTACAGAGTCGTTCTTTGAATCCCTCAAATAGTAACAAACACATAAAAAACCATCCCTTAAATGCCAAATATATTTTTCAACATCCTAAGTGCACGTATTTTAATATTTTTGATGATATTGAAACGTATTTATTTTGAACGGGCGTGGATGATCATGACATCAAAATTGTAAATTTGTCTATGCATAAGGGCATTTCAATTCGAAGAATTCCTGATCAGGAAATTTAATTTGAATTTTTAATTTATTACTCCAATTTTTATAATTAGGTTTATTCTTATAAAGCTGCTTTTTTTATAACTAATAGTTAGAGTTCTAAAATCGAATAAAATGTTGGGTATTTGATTTTGAAAAATTTAAGTTGACCTGTGCTCCGACTTCTAGAGCAATTCTGCAGTTCGAAAAATTTGAAAACATAAAAATAAAATGCTTCAGTCCCCAAGTTTTTCTAAAATACACAGATTAAGAAAATATAGGGGGTGTTTCATTGATTTTGCCTACGTATATATATTGAAATAAATGTATGTATGTATTGAAATGTATGTTCTCAAATTCAAAATTTCTTTCTAGACAATGTTCAAACATTCAAGAAATTCTGAACAAGGTTTTTCAATTTTTAGAACGCATTTTTACAATTAAAGCTATTAGTGTATGAAGGTGTCAGGTACCTTTTTAATAATTTTGAAATAACAAAGGATAAAGTAATGTTGTCAAATCTCTTTCTGTTTAAACATAAGTAAATCAAACTAAATTTACGTCAGCACAGAGACAATTAAGGTAATTTTATAAAGGAGTACTATTGCAAGGAAAACGAAGGCATTTTCAGCATTCTAGCAGAAAATGAATTAACAACTTCATGCTCTAATAGCTTCAATTTAAATATGGATGAAGACAGTATATTAACTTGCTTGCAAATTAAACCCTGAAACGTAGATATACAAATAAATGTCCCATAAAATAATCGTCAATTATCCATACATATCGGTAGATTTGCACCTACAGGCAAATTTGGGCAAAAAAGACTGCAAATTTAGTTTTTTACTTACATTTCTTAAAAGTCATCGTCACTGATCCATCAAGTCGTGCTTTCTGGAACAACTTCGTCAGTTCGGAAAGAAACTGTGGAAGAAAAGTAGCGTTGTAAATTGTTTTTCATATGACTTCTTCTTGAATCCAAAATCACAACTTTTAATAAAACCAATAAAATTAAAAAGTATATAAAATAATTGCATTTATTTTATTACATTTGTTGTTATTGCGATTTGCTCGAATTCTTCGAAAAAATCGTTTTGTGTGGTTTCATTTTTGGCTTCCACTTGATATTCTATGTCTGCGTTTGCATTTCTGAGGTTTTTATCCCAGGTTTCCTGTGACTTTTATTAGTTGAAGTATATTTTCCCAATTCCCTCGCATTTCTTTATTGCATTTCTGCCCGTATTCTCCTGAATTTCTCAAATTCTATTGCTGATCTTATTCCTTATTTCTGAATATCGGTTCTATTTTCACTATATCGAAAATATATTGCTTTCTTCTCCTTTTTAATGTTATTGATTCCTGTGATGAATCACAGTCTATTGTTCGATCTGCTGTTCTGTGATAATGTGCGTGTATTTAGGGCTTCTGCCATTACAAATGTTTTATTTCAGTTTTCGATTCAATGTGGTTAAAAAACTCGGTTTTATTTTAAGTTGAAAAAATGTGTTCTCAAAAATGCCAGTTTTATTATAATCACTCAAGCTAAAATCTTTTACAAAAACCTGAAGGGAGAATCGGTTCCTTTTATTTTGAGTGGTAGCTATGCAAAAAAGCGTAGCTTTTCTAATACTTTTTCAGCACTTACGAAGAGTTAAAATGACACAAAAATATAATTTTCCTTAATTAATAAACAATTAAATATTACTATTATTCCTGATAAACTAAATACAATATGAAAGATTTGAATTATATAAAGTAACTCTTTAAAATTATAGTGAATATAAATAACATAATTTATTCAAAATATACTATTGATTTGTTTATAGCAGATTCGAATTGCCATGCTGACGAATATATAATAAAATAT